TGTAGGAATACCAAAGGAAGTTACACTTGCACCTGTAGAACAGGATATCAGGGAAAGAACTGTGAACAAGGTACGTAGTCAGAGGTTATTATAAAGAAGAAATTAATGCTAATTTTGAGTTGATATCTTGCGCTTTTAAGATGTGAATGAATGTCTGAAAAACCCCTGCAGAAATGGCGGTTCCTGTAGGAATACCAAAGGAGGCTACACGTGCTCCTGTAGAACAGGATATCAGGGGAAGAACTGTGAACAAGGTAATCAAAGGGCTATAATTATAGATATATATTTATGAATAATATATCATTTATTCCTATTTTTGTGTTTTCTCGACTTACATGCCTCACACTTTGATAATTTTGACATACTCTTACTAAGTACGATAATGTTTATATACCTATACACTACTATACTTCCAGGCGAACTCGGAAAGCGCGCAATGCATAATTTTCTGACTTGAAAAAGAATCAATCCCTAACATGACCGCGCGCCTAAAGTCCTGGACAAAACATTGCCGTGAAAGACGCCATTTTGTTTTGTTTTGTTTTGTTTTGTTTGCTTCTCGAGGCGCGCAAAGGTCTATTGGGATTGATTCCTTTTCAGCGAACGCGATTAGCAATCTGATTGGCTAATCGATTTTCGTCAGAGCACCTGGTTGGTAAAAGTATGATAAAGTGTGAGGAATGTATATTTTATATACACTTAGGCTACTGACTATTTCATGGTCCTTTGTTTTCCTGGCCTCCCAGCGGTACAAAAGAATTGTGAAAATACAATAGAAAAAAGGGGACACATATACATAAATATATATCAATGAATGTCAATTTTTTAGCGATCCGGTCTATATATATATATATATATATTGTAGCATACATTTGTACAAATACCTAATGAGATGCAAGACAAGACATCACATGAGATGCAGTGCGTAAAACATGCTTAAATACGATTGCATAGCCACTACATTTTGTGGAAAACACTTTTTTAACTTGACTTCGTGCAATACTTATGTCTCCGATGTAATAGAAGATAATGAAGAACAAATAAGTTACTTTTTAAGTTTTGCATCTCATTTTATATCTTGCATCTCATTAGATATATGTATAAATGTATACTACAACCTTTTTGCAATCAAGTGTATATACATTAATTGATTGAAGCTTATATCATTTATGTTATGTAATATATAATATAACTTCTTTTTTCTTTCTTCAGTTTCAGGATGTAGCGGATATACCGTACTCAACCAAGCTGACCGAGCAAAAGGATTTT